CCGAAATCGTCAGAATGTGTAGCCGTTATTTTTAATACGTGTCCGTTGGGGAGAGTAATGTTAAGGACACGTCCCTTGTATCTGTAAACCGCTTTGTAACCGTCTCACGACCCTCTACACTCCATTCGGTTCAAAAACGCTTAATTTTCGACTAAGGAAATCACCTCGGGATACTCAGAAAGATTTTGGAAATAAAGGTCAGCCAGAAGGAAATTGTCATTACGAAGCACTACTATTCGTGTACTCCTTATTGCCAAGGGCCTCTATGTTGACATCAAATTTGAGTGCTGCAAATTGAGTACATTTTATATACTTATTTGTTTTATTTTATAATTGTCATTGATTAAATTTAAGTCTATCGATTATTATTATTATTAAATATAGGAGTTTATTCCTCCAATAATTATATAATTATTGAAAATTGTCTTCCAATATAAGTTGCCTATCTTTGCCAACTAAAATAATTGAAACGGGCGCCATGTTTTAGAGAGCAAAATATTAGGCGGTAATATCCTTTATGCAAAAATTAGGTCAGATATCTCAAATTTAGTCAGCACATTCAAGTTTTCGACTTCCATAGCTCTAGTGATGAACTCGAAAGCTTTCCGAGAAATCAGACAAGGAAGGCGGCGCTCTTGCTGCACAAAAACCACCCCAAAGCCCTAGCTCGCAACATCGACTCGCTAGCGAGTTTCAGCTACTTGAAGGACCTGGTCGAGATTTTCTTTTGGGTTCTCCAGTGAGATAATGTAGTCCCCCTTTGCCGGAATAATTCCACGTCGCGCCTCTCCATATTTGTGATGGGTTTCGATTAAGCAACTAGGCAACCATATTATTGGTACTCTGTATAACAAATTTTGTTGTAAGGTAATTGCTAGTATACCTCTCCAATTGCTGCCATTTTTTGGGTCCTTTTTCATTTGTGTTTTATTGTGCCAATACATGTAAATGAGAGTCTGGTTGCTTGTTGATGCAATTTTTTTTCATGTCTGTCCCCATTCGATAAATGAGTGGACCTTGTGAGTGGATATGGATACATTTCTTTTGTTGTCATGTCCAATGACTATGAGCCTTCTTTTTGATCTTTGTCAAATGTCTGATTATCAGTATATGGCATTGTATTGTTTGTTATCCTCCATAACTGTTTTTTGTGTTTTGGCGAAATTTTGTGGGTCTTTTGGGGATACTTATCTAATCTTTTCAGCATTTTATTCTGTAATGCCCCGATTTTCAAAAGTAAACTTGGCATTTTAAAGTGAGCATTAACGGATTTTGACAATAATACCCAATTTTTTTAAACTTCGAACACAAAGGTATTTTAACAATTAATGTTGCGCACTCTTGATAAAATAACTTATAATCAACTTAACAAATTTAAACTTTGGGAACTAAACTTCAACGTCATCATTGTATGGTCAAAACCAGTTCTCTAATAATTTAGTCATGAGAAAATCACACAATAAACACAAAAATAACCGAAAATACGGAAAAGAACCACCATGCCTGCTGTCCTCATGTTAGTGTTATATACTAAAAACTTGGCTTTGGATAATATTACATTTTTTTCCCTTTATGAATGAGCACTCGGAGCGACGCGATGATCGCGCGACACGACCGACGATCACTCCGCGCACGCCATACGACCCGTCATCCGATTCCATCCGTTTGTGTGCTGTTCCTGGTCATTCCGAACCCGACAGATTCAAAAAATTCTAAGCCGTAAGTTTTCTACGTCAAACCTTTATATCCGTTGCGCTTAGGTTTACGTTTGATATTGAATTCTTAACTTGTACAATATATTATTTGATTTTTAAATACGTTATACTAAAGTTGAAAAATTATGGCAAATATTATGACCAACACTTAATTGGAAAGATTGTATATATACTATTTTGAAGTTAAAAGTTTATTAATATTAGTTACGTCATACTTATTTTTTTTTTATAATTTATAATTATGTACGTTATAAATACTTTTACAATTCTTTCTAATCTATTAATTTATATGAGTTTGTTATGATATTGTGAATCACAATATGAATTTCTAAGAAACTGGTTTGGTGAGTTTATTGATAAAATCAAATATTATTTTTGAACTCCTTGAAGAAATGATTTTTGGTATATGGCTCGTTACCAAATGAATAAAAATTTGAATGGATTTGTCATCAATATTGAGATATCAATTCTATTGTAGTATTGTGGTAGTTATATTAATAATATTTTTGCAGTTGATTTCTAAATTTATTTTGTACTTACAATTTGTGTTGTTATCACGCATATTTCAGTCCACATATTGTTGGATGCCCAACTAAACAGAAGTATGCACAATTCGTTATTAAAGATAAAGATTACTTTGCTAATGATTAATAGTTAAATTTGTTTTGATGGTTGAAAATTGCGTTTACAATTTTTGAAAAGCTGAATTGATTAGGTTATTGATAAACCAAAGAATTTTAAATTAATTCTCTTGATTACATAATTTTTTGAAGATATGATAAAAAAATATTTTGGTATATGGTTTGTTACCAGATGAATAAGAAATCACGGTGCTTTGCTATTCATGTTGATAAATAAGATTCTATTGTGACATTGTGATAAGTATCATAATAAAATTTTCATAATTAATTTTCAACTTTTATTTTATAAATATATTTGCAATTTCATTGTGCATATTCAAATTATATTTTCTAATAACAAAACCTACTTAGTAGACACTCTTTTGAAGACATGTTGTATGGTTAATTACCAAAAAAATAACAAATTGCACTGATTTGTAATTATATGAAGAATCGAATTTTTATAGCAACTAGTATTCGACCTGTGCATTTGCACAGATATAAATAAAGTATTGTGAGTTATTTGTATGTATATATTGATTAATGATTTTTTTTGAACTTTTTTGCAGGTCAGATTTACAATTAAAGGAGCTGGAATATTTATTTTTTTAAATTGCATTTATCATATTGGATGTAATGTATATTTTGGCATGTATTTTTTTGTGAATTATTTATTATTTATTTAAGAATTCAAATACGTTTTTTATTTTCCAAAAGAAGTTAATTTAAATGTAACCACAACAATAAACATATAATCATGTTAAATAATCAACATATTATATGATCAGCTGTAAGTAAATCAAAAGTTTAAAATAATTTTTTTAATTTTGAAGTGATTAGTGTGTTGATTATCTAATAATTAAATGAGAGGTTAAATAAATAAAAAGTAACGGTTTTTTGAGGAAAAAAGTAATATTGCCACATATGTATAATTTAATAGGTTCTATTAAATGTTCATGAGCCAGTAATTATATATATATATATATATAATTATCACAAAAAATTTTAAAATTGATACCACTTTATTTATATAAAAGGTCGTGCTATTAATCGAAAGCACAATTTACAATATGTAGATCTAATTTGATTTTCATTTTTTACAAATAGTAAAATAATGCTTACTATATTTTCTTTAATAGTAAGTCAATCTATTTAATTACAAATTCAAAGTTAATATTTTAATTTATTCCGTCAATCTCTTTCAATATATATATATATAGATTGTTCACTTGTGTTATCGATTAAAGTACATGAATTACAAAATTTGAATGTTTTTTTAGCTTTAAAAAATAAAGGAATTTGAATGTGTCTTCCCGTCCCTCTCTGTTTTCGAGGCCTTCAAGGTGTGTTTGCTGAGGATGGTCAGGGTTGGGCCGGTGCTTTTTGTCCGGGTCATTGGGATTTGGGAGGTGGGGTTTGTTTTGGATCTCCGGTTGCGAGTGGACTTCCCGGGCGAGAAGCAAGGTCTTTTGTCTCGATTCTAGTTAGGCGACTTATCTGCAGTTTCTAGTATTGAGGTTTGGATCGGGTCTCTGTCATTGTGGGCGGTCGCTCGTGCGGGCTGGCTTGATGTTGTTCGTGTGGGATTTGCTGTTGGGGGAAGGGCTTTAGTTTAATTATTTATGTTTCGCTTCTTTGTTTTGTGTTGTGCCGTAGTGTGTAGGTTGTGTTTTTTCTTCTTTCTCTCCCGTTGTGAATGCGTTATGTGTATTCTCTTGTTGGGAGCTTTTTTATTCTTCTTTTGGGAGCATTATTTGTTTAGTTTGTTGTGCAGCGGATAATTTAGTGTAGTTGCTTCTAGGCTACTTCCGGGCAGGCCTCCTAGATTCAGCTGTTTGGCTGCTTGACGATTCTAACTGATGTCTAGTTGTAATTACGTGATTTTCGTATTTACAAAATTTTTATCGTTTCTAAAAAAAAAGAAGAAAAAGAAATTGACCTTTGATGAAAAAAATGTAAAGTAGTGAAAATTTTAAATCATGCACATGTCACTTTTATTTACCTTTTCCATAAACTCGTGAATATATACAGGAAAAAAAAAATAAAAATAAAATAAATAAATAGGATATAAGAAATTAAAAGTGAAGTGAAAAAATGTTTTTGACGTTGAACATATCTATTAATTATCATATGTTGATGGGAAATTTAGAAATAATAAAGTGTGATTTATATAGTATTGAGGACAAAAACGTCAACTTGACCACGGTTATATACCATGTGGTGGTGGTCCTCCGCAGATTTTTCATCCTCTCCTTTATTCCATATCATTAGTCATTACTAATCCTAAATGGATTATGTATATTTAACACCGATGGTTTTATCTTCTGTTTTCCTAAAAATAAAAATTAAAAAAAAAATCCAAAAATTTTTCTGCAACACACACCAGAAAACAAAAAAAGAAAAATAATTTCTTCATAAAAAAAAAAATCCAAAAATTTTTCTGCAACACACACCAGAAAACAAAAAAAAGAAAAATAATTTCTTCCTATTGGGGTCTTCTCTCCTTCTCCTCTCTGAAATAAGGAATTGCTCAGAGAGAGGGGAGAAGAACATTATTAAATAGGCGGTGTTGCTGAAGCAGATAACACATCCGAGCCTTTATTCCTTCTTTTGAGAAAAACTGATGCCAAAATAAGAGCTTGGAGAAAAAATAAATAAATAAATAAAAATTGCCCCTTTAATGGCCTGTTATTAGGAACGCAAAATTAATTCATTTGTTTCTTTCTGCTCTTCGAGGAGTTAAATTGGCCAGATTTTTTGCCCCTAATTTAGGCTATCTGCTTCTCTGCCTCCCTCATTTTCATACTATTTAGATTTTTTTTCTTAGTTAATTTTATTTTGGAGGAGAGGGATTCTGCTTTTATGAGGGCATCACAAAGGAATTCAAAGAAGTGCATCAGGCATTTGTGAGGGGGAAAACAAAAATTCTGGTATCGATGACGTCTGAAGGTTATTATTATCCATCTAAAAAGAGTGATGATTTTTGTGCAGATGTTTGCGGGCAGGTATGTATATCCATTCTTCTCCTTCTAATTCTGCAAACTTACGAATTTTCACTTTCCTAGTTTTCTCTCATTTTCATCTTCAATTTCTGTCAAAAGTCTGAAACTTTTGTTATCACCATCAATCCACGCCTGTTTCGTTCCCACTGAGATTCCTAACACCAAATCCTCTTCTCCTATTCTCCTTTTCTGTTTTGTGCAAAATAATAAGAACAATAAATGTAAGAAGAAGAAGGAAGAAGAAAATAAACTGTTAATTTTACTCTTCCCATCTTCTCTCAAGTTCCAGATGACCCTTCCGACATAATTAAATTCACGAACCCCTCAATCTACCTTATTGTTATTAATTCCAATTATATTTTTGTCTACCTTCCTTGTGTTTCTTTGTTTTTGCAAATCAAATTCCTACACTTTGTTGTTCAACCACTCCAGAACACACACACATTTCACTTCTTCATCTGCATTTTTTCATTTGCATTTCCTAACTATATATAAATCACATTTGCAGCAGAGCTCATCATCTCTATCAACCATGTCCCGCGTGAAATGCCTCCTCCACGGCCTCGACCTCAAAACCCTAATCTTCCTCCTCATAATCCTCCCTTCCGCCATTTTCGCCATTTACTCCCACGGCCAAAAAATCACCTACTTTCTCCGCCCCCTTTGGCAATCCCCACCAAAACCCTTCACTCACATTCCCCATTACTACACTCCCGAAACCCCAATCCCTTCTCTCTGCTCTCTCCATGGCTGGCAAACCCGCGAATTCCCCAGACGAGTCTTCGACGCCGTCCTCTTCAGCAACGAGCTCGACATGCTCAAAATCCGCTGGAAAGAGCTCTACCCTTACATTACCCGTTTTGTCCTACTCGAATCGAACTCCACCTTCACAGCCATCCCAAAACCCCTCAATTTCGCTTCCCACAGAAAAGAATTCGAGTTCGTCGAGCCGAGATTGGCCTACGGAGTGATCGGCGGAAGGTTCCGGAAGAACGAGAACCCTTTCGTCGAGGAGGCTTATCAGCGACTCGCGCTCGATCAGCTTCTTCGAGTGGCCGGGATTGAAGATGACGACTTGCTTATAATGTCTGACGTGGACGAAATCCCGAGCCGCCACACGATCGATTTGCTGAGGTGGTGTGATGATATTCCGCCCGTTTTGCATCTTGAGCTGAGGAATTATATGTACTCGTTCGAGTTTGAAGACGGGAAAACGAGCTGGCGGGCTTCGGTTCATAGGTATGTTAAGGGGAAGACGAAGTACGCGCATTACAGGCAGACGGATTTGTTGTTTGCTGATTCGGGATGGCACTGTAGCTTTTGTTTTCGGTATTTGAGTGATTTTGTGTTTAAGATGAAGGCGTACAGTCATACGGATCGTGTGAGGTTTTCGCATTTTTTGAGTCCGAAGAGGATTCAGGACAAGATTTGTAAAGGGGCGGATTTGTATGATATGTTGCCTGAGGAGTATACGTTCAGGGAGATTATAGGGAAGATGGGGAATATTCCGCACTCGTATTCTGGGATTCATTTGCCTTCTTATCTTTTGGAGAATGCGAATGAGTATAGATATTTGTTGCCGGGGAATTGTGTAAGGGAAAGGAGGAGGTGAGGAAAAGGTGTGTTTTTTCAGTGACAGGATTGGCTTCTCAAGGGCTTTCTTGATACTGAATTTTTGTTCGGGTACGTTTTGTTATGGTTACAGATTAATTATATGTGTATTCTTAGTTTGGTGTTTTGTAATGACCAGTGGTAGGACTGATGGTGATGATGATGAATGTGATGCTAGGCGCTGATATTTTTCTTGTTGCGTTTAGATCATTTTGCGTTTGGTAGATATTTTTCTGTGTTTCTGACTTACGATCTCTGGTTGTATGGTGCTTCAAAGATGAACATATTTCTGTGATGTTAAACCTTACTCTATAGATAAGGTGAAAACATGAAATTTTTTCATTAGTCAATTGTTTTTGGTCCTCGCCTTCTGTCTCCTTTTTTGATTTGATGTGAATGAGGAAAGATATTTCCAGTGATTGACAATGTATTCTTAGTCCTTGAAAAAATGCCTATGAATGGATGGAGATGAAAGCAAAGTAAAATGGATTGGGGTTTGTTTGGCATCATTTTCTAATCCAACTTGTATATATGAGTTCTTTCTTGTTTGATTGGAAGACAAATATATATAATATGGTACAGACAAGCATGGCGCCTGGCGAAATCTTACATTGTCAGCTGATGAACAGATCCCATCTGGGGAAGATAACACAATTATTCTTTAATTATGACCTATGTCTGATTTTAGAATATGATATCTTCGTGATTTATGTTTATATATGCATTTTTTTTTTCGCGTTCATGTTTTATAGATATATCCCCTCTACTTATCCACAATACAAAATAATTATTCAAACCTCAATGCAAAATCATTACCAATAACATTGCTTGTAAGTCCATACATGAGACTAACATGAATGATATCTTGCTTGTT